AGGGACAGGGACAGGGACAGGGACGGGCGGGTACCTGAGGCTGCTCCAGGGCCGCGCCCCCGGCCAGGTGTTCCGGCAGCAGCACGGGGCCTTCAAGGCACAAGGTGAGGTCCCCAAAGTGTCCCCAAGTGTCACCTCCCCGCCTCTGGTGTCCCCAAGTGTCCCCTGGGTGTCCTTTCCCCAATGGTGCCACTCCCAAGTGTCCTCTGAGTGTCCCCAAGTGTCCCCTCAGTGCCACCCCAGGTGTTCCGGCAGCAGCACGGAGCCTTCAAGGCACAAGGTGAGGTCCCCAAAGTGTCCCCAAGTGTCACCTCCCCGCCTCTGGTGTCCCCAAGTGTCCCCTGGGTGTCCTTTCCCCAGTGATGCCACCCCCAAGTGTCCCCTAAGTGTCCCCAGATGTCCCCTCAGTGCCACCCCAGGTGTCTCCATGGCCTTCAGGGCACAAGGTGAGGTCCCCAAAGTGTCACCTCCCCCCGTCCGGTGTCCCCAACTGTCCCCAAGTGTCCCCTGGATGTCCTTTCCCCAATGATGCCACCCCCAAGTGTCCCCTCAGTGCCACCCCTGGTGTCCCCATGTGTCCCAAACCCTTCAGTGACCCCCAGGGACTGTCCCCAACCCCAACTTGGGGACTCTTCTGGTGCCACCAAGGCGGGACAAGGTCCCTTGGCCCAGCCTGGTGGCCCTCAGTTGTTGTCCCCAAGGCCCCCCGCAGTGTCCCCAAGGCCACCCTGGTGTCCCCATGTGTCCCAAACCCTTCAGTGGCCCCCAAGAACTGTCCCCAACCCCACCTTGGGGACACTGCTGGTGCCACCAAGGCGGGACAAGGTCCCTTGGCCCAGCCTGGTGGCCCTGCCTGGCTGTCCCCAAGTGTCCCCTGGTGTCCCCAAGTGTCCCCTGGTGTCCCCGCAGTGTCCACGCTGCTGACGGTGCTGCCACCCCCCCGCGTGCGCTGGGACCTTGGGGACAATGTGGGGACCTTGGGGATGCCATGAGGACCCAGGGAACAACCTGGGGACCTTGGGGACAATGTGGGGACCTTGGGGACACCATGAGGACCTTGGGGACAACGTGGGGACCTTGGGGATGCCTTGAGGACCTTGGGGACACCGTGAGGACCTTGGGGACAACGTGGGGACACCTTGGAGATGGGAGGGGACCTCAGGAGCGGGAGGGAACTTTGGGGACACCGTGGGGACACCGTGAGGACCCTGGGGATGTGACCCGTCCCCTGAGTGTCCCCGCTGTCCCCTGAGTGTCCCCGCTGTCCCCTCCAGCCACCACTCCGGGGAGGTCCCCATGGGGGCGTTCTGCCGCGTCCCCAGGTGCCACTCGGGGTGGCCTTGGGGACACTGTGGGGACACCAGGGACACTGTGGGGGCCTTGAGGACGCCATGAGGACCTTGGGGACACTGCTGACCATGGGGACAATGTGGGGACCCTGGGAATGGAAGGAGAACTTGGGGACGCCATGAGGACCTTGGGGTCACTGTGGGGACCTTGGGGACTGAGGACTTACCTTGGACAATGTGAGGACCTTGGGGACAACGTGGGGACACCTTGGAGATGGGAGGGGACCTCAGGAGCGGGAGGGAACTTTGGGGACACCGTGGGGACACCGTGAGGACCCTGGGGATGTGACCCGTCCCCTGAGTGTCCCCGCTGTCCCCTGAGTGTCCCCGTTGTCCCCTCCAGCCACCACTCCGGGGAGGTCCCCGTGGGGGCGTTCTGCCGCGTCCCCGGGTGCCACTCGGGGTGGCCGTGTCCCCTGAGCGCCCTGGAGGAGCAGAACTTCCTGTTCCAGCTGCAGGCGCCCGAGCGGCCGCCCTGTGACACCAAGGAGGTGAGGGGACACCTGGGGACACTTGGGGACAGCAATCAAGGGCCACCAGGCTGGGCCAAGGGGCTTTGCTCCACCTTGGTGGCACCCAAAGTATCCCCAAGTCGGTGTTGGGGGCAGTTCTTGGGAGTATTTGGGGGGTTGGGGACACTGTGGTGGCCTTGGGGACACTGGGAGGGCCTTGGGGACACCAGGGTGGCCTTGGGGACAACAATCGAGGGCCACCAGGCTGGGCCAAGGGGCTTTGCTCCACCTTGGTGGCACCCAAAGTATCCCCAAGTCGGTGTTGGGGGCAGTTCTTGGGAGTATTTGGGGGGTTGGGGACACTTGGGGTGGCCTTGGGGACACTGAGGGGGCCTTGGGGACACCTGGGTGGCCTTGAGGACAACAATCGAGGGCCACCAGGCTGGGCCAAGGGGACTTGTCCTGCCTTGGTGGCACCAAAAGTGTCCCCAAATTGGGGTTGGGGACACTGGGAGGGCCTTGGGGACACCTGGGTGGCCTTGGGGACATCCAGGCTGGGCCAAGGGGTTATGTTTCGCCTTGGTGGCACCAAAAGTGTCCCCAAGTCAGGGTTGGGGACAATCCCTGTTGGTATTTTGGGGGTTGGGGACACCTGGCTGGCCTTGGGGACACTTGGGGTGGCCTTGGGGACAACAATCAAGGGCCACCAACCCCATCCAAGCCGCCCAAGATGCCACCAACCCCTCTTGACCGTGCTGTCCCCAGGCTAAGTGTCCCCAAATTGGGGTTGGGGACAGTTCTTGGGGGTAGTTGGGGGGTTGGGGACACTGTGGTGGCCTTGGGGACACTGGGAGGGCCTTGGGGACACCAGGGTGGCCTTGGGGACACAGGGAGGCCTTGGGGACACTGGGAGGGCCTTGGGGACACAGGGACAGCAATCGAGGGCCACCAGGTTGGGCCAAGGGGCTTTGTTCCACCTTGGTGGCACCAAAAGTGTCCCCAAGTTGGGGTTGGGGACAGTTCTTGGGGGTAGCTGGGGGGTTGGGGACACTTGGGGAGGCCTTGGGGACACCAGGGTGGCCTTGGGGACACAGGGACAGCAATCGTGGGCCACCAGGCTCAGCCAAAAGGACTTGTCCCGCCTTGGTGGCACCAAAAGTGTCCCCAAGTCAGGGTTGGGGACAATCCCTGTTGGTATTTTGGGGGTTGGGGACACCTGGCTGGCCTTGGGGACACTTGGGGTGGCCTTGGGGACAACAATCAAGGGCCACCAACCCCATCCAAGCCGCCCAAGATGCCACCAACCCCTCTTGACCGTGCTGTCCCCAGGCTTGGTGACAATCCCCGTCGTCCCCATGGGCCTTGGGGACGCTGGGGACACGGAGGCCACCGCGGGTGACAGCGCGGTGACAGCGCGGTGACAGCGATGTCCCCAAGCAGGGCCTGGAGGTGCCGCTGGTGGCCGTGGTCCGGTGGTCGACGCCGAAGCTGCCGTTCACCAACAGCATCGTCACCCACTACCGGTGAGTGTCACCCGCTGCCACCTCGCTGTCACCTCGGTGTCACCTCGGACGCCAGAGCCTCCTGTGGTGCCACCACCTCGTTGTCACCTCGTTGTCACCTCGTTGTCCCCATGTCCCTCCATCCTCAGAACGTTCTTTGGCTCTTTTCTGGACTTTCCCACGATGCCACCTCGGTGTCCCCCATGTCCCCATGATGTCCCCAAGCCCTCCAGACCCTCCTGGTGGCCCCTCCATGTGCCACCATCCCCTGTCCCCTCATGGTCCCAGTGCCACCACGTCCCCAGAGCTCTCTGGTGCTGTCCCTGTGGTGCCACCTCGGTGTCCCCAATGTCCCCGTGATGTCCCCGCTGTCCCCTCAGGCTGCCGAGCATCCGGCTGGAGCGGCCGCGCTTCGTGATGACGGCCACCTGCGAGTCCCCCGTGGTGGCCCTGCAGCGCTTCACGGTCACCTACACCCTGCTCAACGACCTGCAGGACTTCCTGGCCGTCAGGCTGGTCTGGACGCCCGAGGCCACCGCCGGTGGGGACACTGGGGGACTTTGGGGACATCTGGGACATCGGGGACACTGGGGACATTGGGGACATTGGGGACACCGGGGGGATTGGAGACACTGGGGATGTTGGGGACACTGGAGACACTGGGGATGTTGGGGACACTGGGGACACTTGGGGACATTTGGGAAGTTGGGGACATTGAGAAAACTTGGGGACATTGGGGAGTAAAAGGGGGGATGGGGACATGGGGACAAGGAGAGGACCCCAACTGGCAATGCTCCAAAATCCCCAAAAAATCCCAAAAATTCCCCAAAAATTCTTGCAAATCCCAGAACCCAAAAATGCCACAAAAACCCCTTGAAATACCCCAAAAAACTCTCAAAAAAATCCCAAAAAAAACCCCAAAAAACCCCAAAAATTCAAAAAAAATCCCTAAAATTTTCCAGAAATTCTCAAGTGCCACACCCCCATCAATCCCATAAACCCCAAATTCCCAAATTATCCCCAAAATTCCCATAAATCCCACAACCAAAGATTCCCAAAAATCCCCAAAAATCCCTACAAATCCCAGAACCCAAAACCCCAAAAACGCTCCTAAAAAAACTTCTGAATACCCCAAAAAATGCTCAAAAAAATCCACCCAAAAAATCCCAAAAATTCCCCCAGAAATTCCAGAAAAATTCCCAAAAAATCCCAAAAAAATTCCTGCAAATCCCAGAACCCAAAACCCCAAAAACGCTCCTAAAAAAACTTCTGAATACCCCAAAAAATGCTAAAAAAAATCCCCCAAAAACCCCCAAAAAATTCCCAAAAAACCCCTAAAATTCCCCAAAAAATTCCAGAAAAATTCCCAAAAAAAACCCCCAAAAATTCCCAAGAATTGCCGGAGTGGCCGGAACGTTCTGGAATTGCAGGGAAGTCGCGGGGCTCGCTGGACTCCGTGGTGTGCCTCACCCCCATCAATGCCATAAACCCAAAATTCCCAAATTATCCCCAAAATTCCCATAAATCCCACAACCCAAAATTCCAAAAAATTCCCCAAAAATCCCCCAAACTTCCTGCAAATCCCAGGACCCAAAACCCCCAAAAACACTCAACAAAAAAAGTCAAAATACCTCAAAAAAATGCTCAAAAGATTCCCAAAAAAACTCCAAAAAATTCCCAACAATTCCACAAAAAATTCCCAAAAATTCCTGCAAATCCCACAAGCCGAAACCCCAAAAACTTCCCAAAACAAATCTCGAAATGTCCCAAGAAATGCTCTTAAAAAATCCCCAAAAAATCCCCCAAAAATCCCAAAAATTCCGTAAAAATTCCCAAAAAATTCCCAAGAATTGCCGGGGTGGCCGGAACGTTCTGGAATTGCAGGGAAGTCGCGGGGCTCGCTGGACTCCGTGGTGTGCCTCACCCCCATCAATGCCATAAACCCAAAATTCCCAAATTATCCCCAAAATTCCCATAAATCCCACAACCCAAATTCCAAAAAATTCCCCAAAAATCCCCCAAACTTCCTGCAAATCCCAGGACCCAAAACCCCCAAAAACACTAAAAAACAAAAAGTCAAAATACCCCAAAAAAATGCTCAAAAGATTCCCAAAAAACCCCAAAAAATTCCGCAAAAAATCCCCAAAAATTCCCAAAAATTCCTGCAAATCCCACAAGCCAAAACCCCAAAAACTTCCCAAAACAAATCTCGAAATGTCCCAAAAAATGCTCTAAAAAATCCCCAAAAAACCCAAAAAATCCCCCAAAAAAACCCCAAAAATTCCCTAAAAATTCCCCAAAAAATTCCCAAGAATTGCCGGGGTGGCCGGAACGTTCTGGAATTGCAGGGAAGTCGCGGGGCTCGCTGGACTCCGTGGTGTGCCACACGCCGCTGACCAACCTGGGCTACTCCCGCAAGGGCAGCGCCCGCACCTTCCGCGTGGCCTTCCAGGCGCTGCGCGCCGGCCTCTTCGAGGTCAGTGCCACCCCCGGTGTCACCTGTGCCACCCCTGGTGTCACCTCTGTCACCCCAGTGCCACCAGTGCCACCCCTGTCCCCGTTATCCCCATCGTTACCCCGTCCCCAGTATCCCCAGTATGCTCGTTCAGGCGCTGCGCGCCGGCCTCTTCGAGGTCAGTGCCACCCTTGGTGTCACCTCTGTCACCCCAGTGCCACCAGTGCCACCCCGTCCCCGTTATCCCCATCATTATCCCGTTCCCAGTATCCCCAGTAT